AAGAAACGCATATATTTAGGGTTTTGTATCGTTTTTGTAATAACTGGCGAATATATAGAATGCACATAGTCAAATCTCCTATTCCTCTGTTCATTTTGGGTACATAGCGAAATCGCCCTCCTTAAACGGATCAGTCTTCCATTAGTTCTGCTGAGTTTTTCCCAAAGATGAATTTTTGTGCATTTCTACAAATGCAGTGTTTTCGCTTTTCAACCCTATCCTTCTTGCCAGTCTAACAGATATGTGCATAATGAGCTGGATTTAATGTGTTTTGCTCAGATGATGCTAAATATCAACAGCATAATCTTACTCTTCGAGTATAATCTTAATTGCGAATTCTTTGCTGTTCCTCAAATACCAAGTGTCGGGCACTGGAGCTGCCGACAAACAACCATGCTTTTTGGCCTGGTCTCATGAAGCAGTCAGATGATTAGCAATATCAGTCGCGCTGCTTTAATGCTCGATCGTACACATCCATTCGCATGCACACACAGGGTTTTTGCCGACTATTGTGGAGCAATAGCGCTGCCACCAAAAAATGCATAAAAACCTGCACCGAAATCTGTTTTCCAGCTAGGGGTTGAAATACAAACTGCTTCTCCATCTGCCTAATAAATGTGTGTCTTGCAGTTCCAATGTACGCGACTTAAACATTCTTTTAGTTGAAAGCTTTCACTATATTTCCTACTTTTGTTCACTTATTTTGTCCGCATTACTTGTGTTGTCTTCCTCTCTGTTTCAGTGCGCATGGTAGCATTTTCATATCTCATTTTACCATAACATGATTTATATGGCAGTTGTTTTCTCTGAATGTTGTTTAGAAGGAAGCTGAGAGTGGGTTTGACTTTGCGTCATGCGCAAGTACCTATCTGCGGTCGAAATGAATAAATGTACCTTAGAGAGACTGGACGTCATAATGACTGAATGAAACCTTTGGTTTTCAGAACGGGAGGCGCTGGTATGCTATTTATAAGTAAGAACGAGAACATGTGGAAGGGAAGTAGAATTGAGATAACACTTTCTCCGGAAGAATGAAATAGGGGCGTAGAGAGGCGAGTTCCAGGGCCATCAGATAGTACTTTTGTTACAGTGACCATTAAAGAGTTATTCGCTGTTTTGGAATAAAGTTATTTTGGGCGAAATGACGGCGAACCGAAGCACTTGCCATTCTGGATATTCCCTCAGATCATGCATCCCCGTTTAGGTAAAACAGACCCGACACACTTCTAACTTCTGGTCTCGGCGTGTGGGAGCATTCCAGTGACAACAGTAACATCGAATCACCACGTCGACTGTCCGGACGATTTCAGTATCTTGGTAATATGGGCAAACACGTATTTATCAAAAA